ATATATATATATATATATATATATATATATATATATATATATATATATATATATATATATATATATATATATATATATATATATATATATATATATATATATATATATATATATATATATATATATATATAAATAATACACCCACACACGCACACGCCAAGTACATATATATTTAATACCGTCAATATCTGAAATAAATTTGAAAAATTATAAGATCCAACAGTATAAGGAAAAAAAAAGATCTGGGCCAGTATGTACCAGAGATACAGAGTACTACACAGAGTCGTACAACCGGCAGATATTTACGTAGTACGTTTGCTTTTAAAATAAATGAATAATAAAATATGTTTTAGTGATGTAGTCTCGAGAGTCGAGTGTTGACTGTTCAGTGCTCGCTGTTAAGTGAGTTCAAAGTTGACTGTCTGTGTGTGGCACTGTGGGCAGACTTCACTCTTTAGTCTTTAAGTCTTCAGTGGCCAGTGCAGTGTGCACATGGCTTGAAAAAAGAAATATGTGTGCAGAGCCCAGGCGCCCACGCGGCCACGCCCTACTGACTGCCTGTCACTCTACTCCGCGAGTCAACAGTCTATACTCCATATTGTGAACAACTTCAGTCTGTAGACTCCAGTCTCTAGACTCTTCAGTCTTCACTCTACGCACCATATAGAGAGAGTCCAGAGTCCAGACTCCTGAGTCGGTGTAAATATTTATAAACGGTAAAGTACACTTTTGAATATTTCATTTTTATATCTAAATTTGGGTTTTATTTAGTTTAGTTTTCTTTTAATAAAAGAATACACACAAAAAACATTTATATATATTTAACAATATGAGTGTGTGTGGACTGTAGAACCCTAAATAGTAAAAATATTCATCAGAGACGGTGATCTCCGATACATTTGTGTATTTAAAATACAAGTGTATCTATACTTCTCTGTCACTCTGTCTGACAGTCTGTTGGCCTGATGCAAATTGCAGTTGGCTCGGGGTTTTTTTTGTCAAATTCTATTTATTTCCTCATCAGTCGTCGACCGGTCGCACAACTGTCCTCGCAAGACTCGCGACATAACTGTACTGTCTTTTTGTGACAAGATATTTTGAAATATGGGTTCGTTAACGTACGTTCTACTACTCATCGGCATCATCGCACATGCCTTTGCTCAGGATACACTAGATGATATGCTGGCAACTGTGGAGGGGCGCTTTCAACTCTTTCAGAGATTAAAGGATGCAAGCGGTGCTACTCAGCGCTCGCTTACAATGTAAGATTTTGAAGTTGACCCAACCAATTATCTGAAATACAAAAATGGCCAGAATCGTCGTCCTACCGATCCAGCCACTGAGCAGGAAATATCTTCTGCCCTGCAGCTCTTATTCGGTCCAAATGGTACTATAAGTACCTTGGAGGAAGCTGACACATTGTCGGAGAATACCAATGGTTGGAATGCTATCAACAGTGCACTGGCTCCACGGTATCGGATTTACCCAGAGGCTGTGAATCAAGTGAACAAAATTAACAATAATAATGATTTGGGCGAGGCTGCGGTTTTGAAGAAAGTAAATGACACTGACTGTAATTTGGATGCCGCGCATGAGTGGTTGCACCTTAACGATACGTTCCGGGTTTTTAGGGTTTAGGGATTTTTAGCATCGGGTCTGTAACGACACATGTTGTGGACAAAGAAGCCGCAATTAAAGTAGATGACGACATCGATGTCGGTATTGCGCCCTCATTTAGAAAGCATATTTCTGTTCTGTTTTCGGGAGGGATCGCAGATTTCGACTGCGTCACTGGTACCATATACAGCGCAAATGTTATTGTAGATATAGATGTTACGGATGTGCTTCAGCCACGGGCGGATCCAAGATTTTTAGAATCTTACACGGAGTATCGCGGTATTATAGACGACCCTACTCATGCGCCGATAGCAGAGCTAGACCAGGGTTATCTAGTTGCGACCGCTATGGCCTTGTGCGGTACAGACATAGATGGCCATCCACGGCGTTATATCCCAATCTGTAATGGAAATCCGATAAATGCAGAGTGTCGAATATTGAATTCGGGTACAGCGGTGAAACAATTTGTGCGCCCTTACGAGTGGCATAGCGGAGAAAATGCCACCGTGTATGGGGCCACTCAGGATGAAACGGTTGTCTCCGTAACTGTACAGGAGTATTCACCAGCTATAGAAGCATTCGACGGACACCAATAGGTACGGGGGGGGGGGGGGGGGGGGGTGATATTTGGGACAACCACCTCTTACGCTTTTGATCACCCCTGATGGACGCAAAGATAGTTTAAATCAACTAAAGGGCTCGGAAGCTATCGCTTTAGCATGGTTTGGTCGTGGGCTAGTTTTCTCGGAAGACGATACTTGGGCCTTGTTGGCAGCCTTCGACATCGCCGATCCCATATCAGGTAATACGAATTTCACTGCTATTGCCGAGATAGTTTCTAAAGCTATCCAAGAAGCGTGGAAGAATGATGAGATTCACGGAACACAGCCTGGTGTGCTATCGACAAGATCGAGCGACAATGTTAAAATACCAGCGGTAATATTAGTACATCCCAGAAATACACCGGAATATATAAACCACGCCACAGTCCAGCCAGTTGAGGAGAGCCTCAATCGTAGCCGTGATATTCGCGATAACCCACCTCACTCTCGGCCACTACTGAAAGAGGACGGTACTGCGGATATACCTCCGTCTGGCAAGTATTTCGAATCTATCGCATTGGATGGTCCTTCATTCGAATTAGATGGCTATTCAGTCACTTGGGATGTCGGAATCGTATGGCGATTCACGATTGGATTTGATCGTGATGCTGGGATCACGCTATACAATTTGCGTTTACAGATGCCACCTACGGCCGAAACTCCCGAGGGAGAGATGATACCTTATCTTTGGCGCCTCAGTGTGCCCAACTTTGGTACCACTTACGCAAATAGTGGAGCCGGAAATTTGTACTCGTCATCGTATTTGATATCACACTACACTGCTATAAGAGACCTTGCACCCGAAGCGAACTGCAAAGGCTCATATATCACTCTTCCACTGTACTTAGCTTCAAGAACCTCGAAGGCCGATCTGTCACGGTTTTTATACACCACTTACGGTACGGATGGTTATACTGATCCATTCGCAGAAGCACTGACAGGCGATGAGCTCCCTTTCAACGCTTTCCCTATGGAGCAAAAGAACTTTGGTGTTCTAAATCATGGGATTTGTATTCAAGAGCACGACGAGGAGAATTCCTTGTGGCACCTGTACTCAGCGCAACGGCTACAAAGTCTTTCGGTGTTTAGTGCTACCATTTCAGAGTCGTATAACGTGGTCAATACATTCAAGCTTTTCTCTGATGCCAAGATAAAAGTGATTGAGAAGCTGCATGGGAAACCATCGATACAGAATCATGGTATCCCTAATGTAGGCGGCGCATACGCCAGCGGTGGACGAGGCGGGTTTGCAGCAAACCATCTCCATTGGCACGTAGTGGCAATGGAGCCTCATATTAAGAAAAACATCGAAGGAGTCAGCAATAATTTCAAAGTCGCAGACATGATTCTTGGTGGCATGGATGAGGACTCATTGAACTGGTACAGAACTGCACAGCACAAACGCGTAACTCCAATTACAAACACATCCAACACCGCGCTCAACCGCTTTGACTTCAATACGCAACGTGCTTGGATCATGGGCGCCCAGAACAGTGACGGTGAGGACTTGGGAGGGTTACGAATTATGAGTCGAGCATGGGGTCCACCGCTTACCAAGGATGACCTAGAGGACGTTGGACGGTACTCAGAGCTCACAGATTTGTACAAAAATGACACCATTCTGAATCATTGGTGGCTGCGAGACGACATACACGTAGGCAACAGCGACTGGACATGTGCGGCACAGGTTCTACTTTCAGAGTCGAATGACACTTCATGCCAGATACGGACTGTCAGGTATGGGTCTAATCACCGCTGTATGCCGGAGGAGCAGGTGGGAGACAGTCCTGTTGTCTACGCTGTGATGAAGAAATACCATCCAAGTAATCACGGAGGAGATGTCCGTACAAGCAGGGTTTACCATGGTCGAATCGGAGATGTGGCCACATAACTTGCTGAAGTTCAATCCAAATATACTGTCTCGCTACGATCCGAGGTACAACGCTTTCTTCCAGAACCCCTTGGACGGCCAGCAAATATATACTCCGCCATACGAGAGCGAATGGAACACAGGCGATACAGACCACGACGAATTATAAATCAATATCTATTTATTAATGTTAGTAAACCCCAAATTAAATACATTCCAAACATGTGGATACGTGTATATATGTCACAAATTTGAATGCTTCTAGCACAAATATGTATACATGTATGTTTATTGAAAACACGGATATGCTATATATTTGTGTATTATATAAATCTAGCATTGTTGAAATCCTGATATGTATTTATCTCGTATATTTAACTCGCATTAGGCAAAAACCTCGGGTAGAGTGACGTTGGACATATCACCACTGACTCGTTGCGAGTCAAATACTCGTTACTGTATCACACTATGCAACGACAAGACAGGGCACATGTATAGAACTGAAGTGGCTATTTTTAATCCCTTTGTATTTTTACACTTATGTCTGTGTGGGCTATACATTCTATTTAAGCTCTCTGCTATGCGGTATCCTATAGGTACATGTAAGCGCATTGTGTCTGTATACACCATGTACGTTATGAGTGAGAGTACGCTATACATGTACGCTCGCCTACTTGTGCTTCAACACCCACGCGTGCAAGTCCATGTAGGTCAGTCCCTGCTGCTTCCATCGCCCGGTTAAGCAATCTAGACTGCCAACCTCCTCTACGCTCAGGGCTGTCTCGCATTTGTTCACCAGTTGAACAAAGTCCTCCTGTTTAATTGGCCATGGTGGTCCTCGGTGACTCTCTTTCTCCTCAAGTGAGTAGTCGAAGTTTGCAAGCAACCATACACCGTCTTTTTTCAGTAGATTCCCCACCGCGGCTAAATACCTTGGTCTAAGTTCCGGGTCGATAGCTACAAACGAGGCCTGTAATACATAGCAACATGTGTCAGGATAATATATATATATAACATACATCGCAATACTCAGTGTTTTCAAACAGTGAACGGAATCAAGGCTCAGCCAAAATTTCTTTTTGCGTACCGTGCGGCTCAACAACATTCAGAAAAGCAGTCTTTCCATTGCAAAAGAAACTATTCCATATGAATTCCTCGTTTTCATTCGCATTTATACATCACACACACACACACACATATATATATATATATATCGCTCAATCCTGGTATGATACAGAAGCATACAATTGGAAACATTTGCACAGTACAAATTAAATTTTCATTGTATACCAGAACACAGCTTTTGTATCCCAAAAAATACACATACATAGTCCCAAATGGCGTCGAAATCTTTCACGGTTTGGAACGTGAAAAGATCTTCCACATAGATGATGATGTCGTGGTTAGTGCATTTGTAGACATCTCCTTCTTTCGTGAACGCGAGACTGTTGTCGTTGAAGAAGGTCTCAATCGCTAGCTCGCTAATCTGTAAGCAATGGTAATGAAAGCACAATCTGTGCAGTTAGTTGAAGTGCACATAAAGATACCGACTAACCAAGAGGCCTATCGAAGAAGATTCGTGCTGTGATGCTAAGCATATGTTTCAATACGACTCTTTTACATCAAGATGACCAGCCACTAGAAATCTTCGGCCAGTATTCGATCGATAGCTGCGTATCAAATGGAGTGTATTTTAGTTACTTAACAACAAACAGTGCTTTAATAGAGACGTGTCTGAGGCCGCGTGGATGTACATATCTATATATAAAGATATACATATATACATATATAACATCCTGCTGACACTCTGGTAGCCAGTCGCATAGCCTGTATGCCTCACACACATACCTCCACTCCGACCACAGTCAGGTTACACTCCTTGGCCAGATACAGCAGATCAACCGTAGACCCGCACAAGGGCAAGAAAATCTTTTGTTTCGCAGCCCTGTATGTTTACGTGCCAACAACGATTATTAGACATATAATAATGAGGCTAATATAGGCCACATAACACAATCGGATAGGGCATGAACGGCTGCTGATTACGACAGAGTTACGCACACCACGATGTGAAGTAACGACTGCTAGACATATATGCACAAACGAACGCAGGAGATACGGTTGTATCAAAATGAGTCCTCATTATTCACTGCAAACAGGAAATCATGTAGTAAAACTACGTAAATCGATCCTTTTTTCATATAGTTCTTATTGCGTACTGGGTACAGTTTGGCTCGGTCTATGCATACAACCTACAACAGGGGATGGGCGTGGGCAACAATCAGCAGACAGAAACCTAGAGCCTCAAAGCGCGAGTATGTAAGCCATGACCACCCATGTACCAAACATCAAGTTCAATTGCACATGCTCAATTATACAACACCCACATCGCCCTCGATATTTTATACTCGGCTTACACAATGGTATTGAACATTTGTCCACTAGCCACACAGTTGTACCATGTCCTTCGCTGAAGAATACAGGTGCAGGTCTATATAGCCGTAGGTAAGATACTTTTCACAGAGTGAGCCGGTACTAGTACAACAGCCAAGTTCAAAGACACAATACATCCATAGAAACATAATAGTGAAGTACAGAAGAAACGTCTCAGTGCACTACAGTAGAAAGATATCAGTGAACTACAGCATTCACACCAGTGTGGTGACATCAGACATGAGTCAGTGGGACTTACGTGTCAGTGCTTAGCTTGAGCAGTGAGTAGTACTTCACGAGTGTCTCGTTGACACCCTGCTGGCGCCACCCCGTGTTGCCATCCTGCCACCGGTCCTTCCATACACCCAGATCACTAGCCATTGTTCACTGTCAACTATATTGTAATACACTAAATGCACTTGTGGATGCGTCTATATACATTTGTTTGTATTTATACAATTATACATCATGTATAGAATATATTTAGATATCTGCTTGTTTTTTGTGGGGCTGTATGTATGCTTGTTGTTGTCGTACAACCACTTGCTCTATCCATTGGTCTACACATCTCCAATCGTTACGACTTCATGTTTTAGGGTTTTGGCCTGACCGGTGACCTCACTGACTTGTATTTTGACTGGGAGTCACTGGAATGTCGTCTATAAACTGTTGTTTATATAGTGTAATAAGTTATATTGGCCGTATGAGTGTTTAGCTAGAGGCTTAACGAGGCCTATATTAAAGTGGTTGTCCATAACTGTAGTGAGCGGAGATACGGCGTGTGCTAGCTATGTACAGAACTATCGTGTATATGTATGCTGCCAAAAACCCTGTGCCTATGATATAGTACTGTGGAGTATGAAGTTAGTATAGCGACACTGTCACTCTGGCGGATCCAACTCCTACTGCACCACAGCTTAGTCAGGTCAATGGGATATCAGCTAACTTTGTTATATGATAATTGATCACTTATAAATCGCTCTCGTTTAAACAATCATGGGCTCTAATTAACGATATATTGACTGTTACTACCGCTCGTACCCACATCAAATCAATATTGCCCATCAGTCAGAAAGTGAACCGTATCAACACATCCAGCCAATATGCACACAACAAGAGCATGTGTACTGTTTCTAGTGACACTGATGTTTGGACTGCATCTCGCAGAGGCAGCCAAACCATCTAAGAAGTCCAAGTCAGCCTTAGGAGCGCCCTGTTTTGAGGATGCTGATTGCGGGGTGAGTTATATTGTGAATCTGTTAGCAGTGGGGTGTAGCTAAAGTCCCGCGTTTCTGTCTTAGATATGTATCTCTGGTTGTATCAAGATGCGTCGTTTGAGAAGCGATTGTGATAACAAACCCACGCTTCATTAGGTATACCCAAGCTTGTCAAGATACAGTTCCGTGCACACTCGCACCCGTTCAATTGCCGAGAACATGTACTCATTAGTGT